CTGCTCGGTCTCCGTCTTCTCGTAATAATCAATTATTTCTGTGTAATTTATGGTAATGTTCAGTCATGATGGATTGACTGCTCTAATGTCGCTCTAAATCTTTGTAGCCTCGCTGCAGCTTGCTGGGGTACGCTCGCCTGCGCCTGCAGTGGGGCGCGCAGATCCCACAGAGCACTCTGGAGCAGGCCAAAAAGCAGAGCGGATCAGTGCATAGCAGTTCAGAGCAGATCAGGCACCAAGGCAGGTGCAATTGCCACAGCGTGGAGAGGCTCTGTGCAGGCTCTCCCACTAAAGCCTGGCGGTCTGTCTGCCAAAACAGCCGAACCACAACCAGACCGGCAGGTCGATGTACAATGGGAGCGAATACACAAAATTTGTTCTTAAACATTTATATTCAATTATTTTTGCGATAGAAGCAAGAAATGACCGACAAGCTGGGGTAAACAAATAGTTAGTTGGATGAAATTATTAAGTTACATTTGGTACATAAAATAGAGCATTAAATACAAGTAGAAACCTGTCGTCATGGCTTCTCTTCAAGTAGATTTAATAGATTATATCTCCCTTTATTTTAAAGGATTTCCCATGCCTATTACTAATACAATAATCTGTGTGTTAAATCTATTGCTTAAATCAAAAATCAATTAAATTGCCTGCCGCATTTATTTCTTACAAAATTGCATTCTATTCCATGGTGCGACTTGCTGCTTTACTTCCGTCACTGTGCGATGCGACTGCACCACCCTACCCCGCCTCAGCCCAGAGCTGAAGCCACAGCACAGCCACAGCACAGCACACACCTCTCTCTCTCTCTCTATCTCTTTCTCTTTTGCTCCCCCGTCAGCGGTAATATGTAGCATATGTTTTCGTAAGTTTTTTCTTGTATTTTGTTTAATGGCAGCTTAGATTACACGGGACTCACCCAGACAGGTGTGGGGCAGACGAAGGAAGAGCGCGCAAGCGCATGTGGACTTCGGGTCGATCCCCCATCCCCCCATTCTCCCCATTGGATGTAACTGATGTTTAAAATTGCTCTGTGATTTTCGTGGCGAAATTAATGTTAAATAAGCTTTTAGTTTATGTCCCGCCACAGCGTTGATCAATTTCTCAGTCACCTGGTGCCGGTTGCCGGTTGCCGGGTGCCGGGACTCATCTTCAGTTGGAAAGTGCTATGCTGTTGTTGGCTCCTTCTTCTGTTTTTTCTAAGACTTGTCTGCCCTGGCTCTCCCCCCCTTGAGTGTGTACGACGATGTTTGGCTGGCTATCTGCCTTGTTTATGTGTAAATTATGCTTGTACACATTTTAGCCACAATTGTGTATAAATTATAGACGAATTATTATGTTTGTTTGTCTTTTGGCAGAGTTCGACTTACATATTAATATAGCACCAAAAGCCGCCTCCAAAACTGGTCGCATTTGAAATTCAAACGATGGAAAGTTTACTTCAGTTTATCTTGGGTATATTAAAGCCGTATTTTAAGTTGTATTACACTTAAGCCGAAGAATTTTGAATTTGGCTAAGACTTCAGCATAAGTATTGAGTAAGCTTAATGAATTATTTATTTTATTTATTTATTATTAATCTTTATGAGCGCTACTTTTTCTTTGCTAAAGGTTCCTCTTAGCACCCACATGCTGCTCTCTTTGCTGTGTAGCGCATCTCGGATGGTCAGCGCTCTCTCCTTGCCTTGTTGCCTTGTTTTGGTTGTCTTTTAGTTATGATATTCGCAGGCAGCTCTTGGTGAGGGCGGAACGGAATATATTTGGTCTCGAAAGATCTTTGTTTTTATAGCCGTATGCCGGGCATTAGTTCCGATAGCAATTGCTGTGAACTGCATAAAAATGATTTGGCATGCAGTGGCAGAGCGCAGACCATCGGACATTTTGGCTGCAGCCGCCCCCGAGGGCAGGGCCTGCTTAGTAGGTGGTTGGTTTTAGTTTTGGTTTTGTTGCAGGAAGTAAATGGTTAAGGCCTGGGAAAGACTGATAAGGTGGAGGAGTGTGCAGCAGAGAATCCTTGTTGGGGGTTTTCTCTCTGTGTGTGTGTTGATCTCCGTGGTGTTATGCAAATGTCTTTTGCTACATCATCACCATCAGGCAGGAGAGGCAGCGGGCAGGTCAGCCACACCATCACAATAAGCACCAAAAGCATCACCACCCTGTGTGCAGCACAATGGCTACCGTGCAGCGTGCAACGGCAACAACAACAGCAACAACAACAACGGCAGAACACGTACAAAACAGCAGCTGTTTAACATTTATTTGCCTATTTATTAATTTCATGTAACATTTTTTTCCTAGGAAAAAGTTCCACAATGCGAAATCAAAGCCAAAAGGCAACAAGCCCAACGCATTCTCTTGACGCCAGGCAGTCGCCACAACCCATAGCTCGGGTTCAGTTCCAGGTTCCTGGGCTCTGTAAAATGTCCAAGCTCCAGCCGGGCTCCAGAGCCGTTTGGGGCCAAACAATAAGGCACCAACGAGCGGCGGGGACACGAGACGGGAACGTGGCTGAGGCCGAGGCCAGCCGCAGGCTTTCGGGAGGGACTTTTTGCCATACTTCTCCCACTATTTGACTCAGTCTGCTCTCTGCCGCTGCCGCTGCTGTTGCTGCCACTGCTGCTGCTGCTGCTGCTTCTACTGCCTCTGTTGCCACAAAAAGTGTCGTGACCCCGGCCCAGGCATTGCATATGGTCTCGGTATTGTGGGAGGCAGGGAATGCTCCAGAGCCAGAGCCAGGCCAAGGGGGCCAGGCAGCACCAAAGGCACAGGGCAGGAGTACAAAAATTACATGTTGTTCCTGTTGAAATGTTTTGTTTTCGGTTTTGTGTGCAGCGTTCCCATTGTCGTCGACGTTTATTTATAAATTTCTTAGCGTTGTTTACCTTTTGAAATGCCCTTCCCCATGGAAAGACGTTTAATATTTTAATCGAAATAAGAGTTCATCTCTGAGAAAAATATCCCTGATATAAAATATATGACAATTTATTTAAACACTAACCCAATTATAATTAATATTCTCTTTTATTAAAATTATTTCAACGAGCTTTTTACACATTCAAAAATATTCCTCAGCACTTCCAACTTCGAGTGCAATGAATGCAATTTGTAGCAGGCCACCAATAGACCTTCTTTCCATCTGTATAATTATCATCTTAATAAATCCCCAAACCCTATTATTATAGGGCATTCAGGCATCGTTCAACTTGTATCTTCTTCAACTCTGTTTTTTTTTATGTGATTTTGGTCTTTTGGCTAATATTAAAAGCTGTGCTGAGGGGAAATATGTAACAATCCTCGTGCTACTCCTGGCCCGTAGCCCAAGGAATCGTCGCCGTCTTCGTTGTCGCTTACATAAGCATCTCTGGGCTAGGACAAAGGAAATGCAAAAATGCCAAAAATCGCACAACTCAAAATAACCAAAAAAAAATAACCAAAACGAAATAAAAAACAGGGGGGGGGGTAAAACAACAACACAAAAATACAGAAAACGCGAATGCGAGTAACTTGCACACAAAACGATTCTGGCACCCATGAAGAGCAGTAGCATCAGGAGCAGCAGGGAGATGAGCGAATGGAAGCCGGCTCGGGGGGGTGGAGGGTCGCAGGAGCTTGGGATCTCGGATCGGACTGGGCGGGTGGTGGCTGGCTGGCTGACTGGCTGGGCAATACGGCTCGCGTTGATCGTGGCACATTTGCATACAATGAGGCCAGGCTAGGCCGGGCCGAGCCGAGCCGGGGCCAGGACTGAGAGCCGATCCGAGCCGCACACACAGTCTCCCAGCATGTTATCTCTGACTGTGACCTACACCAATATTTCTGAGAATGCTGCTGTTGGTTGGACGACGTCGTCGCCTGTAAGTGTGTCCCAGGTCTCCATCTCCATCTGCAGCTTCAGCTTCAGCTCCGTCTCCGTCTCTGTCTCCATCTCTCAGTCACATAGCCAGTCAGTATCTCAGACAAACGACAACGGACGACGACGAGGAGTCATTCAATCGCGCCAGCTGCGGCGTCTACATCGTCAGCGTTCCGTTCCGTTTCATTCCGTTTAGTTTTTTTTTTTTTTGTTTTTTTTTGTCTCTTCTCTGCCTTTTCTCTGCTTTTTGTTTGCTTTGTTTTTTGTCTGTTATTTTGTTGGCCATTCTACTTACAATATTTGTTGGATATCACCAAAAGATCTCTGCAACAGCAGCCGCAGCAGCAGCAGCAGCAGCCGAAAAAAGGAGCCTGCCAGCCTGCCTCCTCATCGTCGGGCTCGAGTGGGCCTGTGTGTGAAATCCAACTGTCTGGCGTCTGTTCTGCGTCGTCCGTCGTCACCATGAAGTGGTGTGCCCAGTCCCAGTACGAGTACGAGTACGATACGAGTAGTTTGAAACTGAAAATGTCTATGAATGTTACCCAAACTTGGCGCATTGGTATGGGGAGTGGCTTTCGGGGCTTGAATTTTTTTTTTTTTTGGTTTTTTTTCGTTTTTGTTCGTTTTGGGCGAAAGCGAAAAATTCGAATTCGGTTGCTGGTTCAGAGTGCAAGGCATTAATGGAAGACTTAAGAAAATCATGACATTTTCCCATAGCGATTTTTTTTTCTTTTTTTTTTCTTTGCTATTATGGAAATTGATTTTGGTCGTCATATGATGCCCGGGATTAGATGGTAAATTCCCTTAGATGTTGTGGCGCTTGTTTATGATATGTCTGGGTATTTGGGTCAAATGATGCTGATTGGTGGATTTTTTAATGGGTAGGAACTTGTGGATTGTAGAGCTTTAAGTGCCAATTATTTTGTGATAAAAGTACATACAAATCTGACCTCCTAATTGCTCTTAAATTTCTCTTCTTAAATTCTGAAACAAATTTTTATTTCGTTGCAATTTTTGCAGTCCCCAGTTCCATGCAAATAAAAATTGTGTGCTCTTCAACGTTTTGAAATTTTCCAAATGAAAATACTTGAAATGTTTGTTTATTAAATAAAGCAAAGCATAATAGTAATAAATATGTCTATAAATAAAACGTTTAATAAATAAAATAATTAACCTAAATCGTCGACGAATTACGCACAAAGTTAATGCACACATAAACCTATACATATGGGCATGTTAAGATACAGATACAAGATACAGAAATAGTTCATCGTAAAAATGTTTCAAGCGCATGCCATAAAAAATAACGCTAATAAGAAACGCTACAACTAATAGAGCTCTCTTGGCTTCGGTTGTTTTTGCTATTTTGTTATATTATTTTTACTGCTGTTTGCTGCTGCCGTTTTGCTATCGCAAAACTAATTTCCAAGTGCCCATTTTCATACAACACATATTGCATACATTTATTTTTAAGTGTCTTCCGAGATTGCACATACGAAAAGCAGAGGGAGAGAGAGAGGTGGAAAAAACAATGGCTTCCATGGAAATTACTTAAATTAGTTGATATATTATATACTCGTAGAGAAATGAATGTGTTATAGCGCAAAAATTTTATTGTTTTTTCCGTTTGTGTTTGCTTTTCGTTTCGATAAAAATAATTTAAACGCTAAGATGACAAGTGGCAATTAATTTAAGTGTGATTATCACCTGGCCGCCGCCCGTTGCAAGCCGATCCGATCCGATCTGATCCGATCTCTGGGTATTTCCGAGCTTTTTTGTTTGTTTTTGTTTTGTTTTGCTGCTCACTAATTTTTGGGATCTGCAAGCAGAGTGGCGAGGGGTGGGGCATTAGCATAAGCGTGGCATGTGGCTGGCGGAAGCTCCATAAGAATCTCCACTCCACTTCACTCTTATCAATAATTAAGATACTTTTTTGTTTTCTTTACTAGTTTCGGTAGATAGTGGGTATGTTTTGTTGTCGGCCTTAATTACTTAGCACTGGGCCGCCAATTGGTCGCAGCTTTATGGAAAATCGTGCCAATCAAAATGTACTAACCTCTATCCTCAACCGGTTCCCCGGCATCTGCATGGCCCGTGGTCACCGTCAGCGGTATCGCTATGGGTATCGGTATCGGTATGGGTAGGGGTATCGCTAGTGATGGAACTGGCGCTACCCCATCGATGGAATGCTCCGCACGCGTTGCCGTTGTCGTTGTTGTTGTTGTCGTCCCCCCCGCCACGTGGACATGATGAAGTGTTAAATGTTGAGACTGCTGGGACTGCTGCTGCTGTGACTGCTGCTGCTGCTGCTGGAGAAGGAGATGCTGCTGATGCTGGTGCGGATGATGATGATGTGGCTGGTTCTGCTGCTGCTGCTGATGCTGCTGCTGTGTCGCGGCCAGATGCTGTGACAGCTGCTGGTGATGGTCTCCTGTGGGTGGCCACTGCTGATAGGTCAGCGGCACCAGTGGATCGGACATCCACTCAAAGCTGAAGGCCGGTCCAATGGTCTGCGTGCCAAGGCCACTCTGGTGGGGCGTCGCACTGGTGGGCGTGGGCGGTGTGGTCGTGATGCAGGGACTCAGCTCGTGGTTGGACCCAAAGCTGTCGAGTGAGGCCTTCTGTGCGGACTCTGACCACGGCGGACTGGGATTCCACTGCTCGATAAAGTCCGCCGGATCGGGCGGCAGTGATTTGTTGGGCAGCCGCGGTCTCGTTGGCACAATGGTGGCATAGATGACCGAGGCATCGCTGCTGGCCACCGCCGATGTGGCATATGCCGCCGCCGGATGCGTGTGCAGGGCATAGCAGTCCGGTTCGGGCGTAATGGCTGCCGCCGGAGAGCGTTCCGCATGCAGATACAGCGGCTCCAGCTTGTTCCTGGCGCGCTTTTTTGGAGGCGGAGGTGTGGCTGATTGTGTGGACTTTTGGCTGCCGCTGCTTGTGGGATTGGAGGTGGTGCTGGCGTTGGGTGTGACTGGGCTGACACCGTTGCCACCGCTGCCAGTGCCAGCGCCACCGTTCACCTGACTATAGTCGACGGGCTCCTGAAAGCTGAACAGCGGCTGATCCTCCTTCAGCTCGATGGCAGCCTCCGCGTGATAGACGCCGCCATAGGTCCCCATATGCGGATGATGATGGTAGGCAGCCGCTGGATGGTGGTGATGATGATGGTGGTGCGTATGGTGCGGATGATGCGGATGATGATGACTGCCAAAGACACTCGCCATCCCTGTCGCCGCATTCGTCATGCTCAGGCCGGGCGTGGTGCCGCCCTGCGGCTGCTGGGAGTGCGTCGAGTGGGGACTGTAATAGCCGCTGGAGGTGCTGCCCGGCGGCACGCGCATGCCACTGTCCAGCGGCATGCCGAACTGAATCTTTGACTGTACCGTGTAGTAATGGTACAGCCAGGAGTTGGCCAGCATTACGGATGCCTCGCGATCACTAAAAAGGCGATTGATTGGGAGATTGAGGATATGCATGGGTTAGCGTGTGTGTCTCTAAATAGTTAGCCATGGAAAGGTGTGCTCTGGTCGTTTACTTACTTGAGCACTTGATTGGTGCACACAATCACAGGCTGCTGGGTGGAGTCTGGACTGTCCCGTACCTGTAGCACCACATGGACCCATGTGTATTCGCCACTGGAGCGCTGCATTCGCACCAGCAGGATACAGCTGCGATCCTGTTCCGATTGGGTTACTGTAATTGGAATAATTAAATTTTGTAGTTACATTTTTTTGAGCTAAATTTATTCTACTGTAATAATAACTTCAATCAATTTTTAATCGATTTTAAATGCGACTCATTCAGCGTTTCAGATGACAACTGTTTTTGATTAAATCATATTTTATTTATGTACATAGCTTGAACCGGTTTCTATCCATCGAACCATAAAATAAAACATTTTAATTGAAATTAAAGCAGCTTGAATAAATTTTATGATTGTTATCTCAATAGATATTAAATTCAATAATTTTTGAGGTCGAAATCAATAAATTTAATGCAGTATTTACTTACATATATCTGATACATATATCTTGATATATTTCAAGCAGCTAACATGATTTTATCTGGCAATTTTAATCACCTTTAAACGATCTTTGTGAGCATTGCGTATTTTGTTTTATTAATCTCAATTAAAGTGATTAAATGTATTTAAATACTAAATTAAAATTTAAGAAATAAATTCAAGAATTCAAAGCTCTAAACTTATACTTTTAAATTGAATATTTCTACCTTAGAAAAATCCCAATAATCACTTACTTAGTCTGTGTTTGCTCTGTGCCTCCCTTAGGTTTTCGCTGTGTATCAGATTGTACCAAGATGTTGCCTGCAATGTGCTCTTTTCATAGCCCAAATGGAACTCGCCACTGAAAATATCAAAACATATACGAATTAAAATAAATTAATATTGATAAATAAATAAAATATAAAGCCTAGAAATGGGAGTATACATTCGCTATAATTGCCGTGGCTACTCACTTCTTATCGATGTGCGCGATTTTCATATCCATCGAGTGAATTGTGGTAAACACATTGGTGGCACCTTGCACCACACACTCGCGCGTCTCGGGCATGGCGATGGGCGTGCAGGTGGCCAAGAAGACGGGCTCGTTTCGACTGCAGAGCGGCAGAAATGACAAATAGTGACCCTGTACGAGAACAACCTGCAAGACAGAGCAAGAGAGAAGGAGAGTTGAAGGAGAGCTGAGGCTTTGTTCTGGGACCACATTCGGCTGGCTCCCACGAAAATTGGCGCCCAACGTTGTTGCCCTGTTTGCTGGCGGGGCCAGTATTATGGCCATTTTTGGCTCGGCATGCCGGGATTCGCTTCGGCTTGGTTCTCTCTCATAGACATTTTACTCTGATTCCATAATTTAAAAAAGGCAATCACAGAAATGTTTTGTCCCAGTATTGACTCCTACCTGGGTACTGACTCCCCCCGTTACCTACCCTTCGCCACTACTCCACACTCCACACACACACACACCAAGCAGTCTCCGAGGCAGTCTTTGCGAGTCAGTCGCTGTCTTCGAGCCATTGTCTCCCAATTAAAACGTGCCTGCATTTATTTCGTCCCAACTGCAATTGCATTTTCGTAGCTTATGGGCCGCTGCTGCCTCTTCTGCTTAAATGCAAATGCAAATGCAGCTCTCCGACGATCCTGTGATACCGAAACCCAGTCCCAGTGCCAGATTCACCCACATCCCGCGTTTCCCCTAAAACCCGTCGATGACGCAGACGCCAGCGTCGTTTGGGTTGCTTTTTTTCCTTTTTTCTTTTTTTTTTTTTTTGGTAAATGAGACGACCTTAGACTGGGGAGCAGGCGCCACTGCCGGCGCTGTCGCCGTCTCTTCTCGTTTGGCTGTTGGGTGCATTATTTTTTTTTTTTTTGGGATCTTTTGTCTATGGGGTATGACTGTCTGGGTACTAGAGGTACTAGCACTGAACTATGCCTGACCTCATTCATAATTATTTATTGGTCCATTTTTATTGCATATTAACGAGTGTGCCTGCCTGCCTGCCTGACTGCCTGACTGCGAGTGAATGTGCTGGGGTTCGACTTTGAGGGTTATCGCTGGTACAGTTCATGTGGGTCTTAAGCTAGGGATTAGATTTCTTGGTCTGGGAAGGCATTTGAAAGTTGTGTGCAGCCAATGTTGGTATTCAGATTATTCCGAACAGTTGACCATTGAGAGTGGGCTATAGGAGAGCTTTAAGATTTTCTAAAATATTACCATAGCAGTGGCTATACAAAAAGCTATGCCAATTTATATGTAAAATATTAGCTTCAATATTGGAAATATATTTCTGAAATAATTAAAAGTTTTCAATGTCTGAAAAACTTTCTTTAAAGCTCTTTATTTAAGGATGGGAATAAAATAAAATAAATTAAATTAAAATGAATATAAAAATCTATATATTAGCTGTGAATTGCCTGACTTAAAGATCAGCGCTGAAGCAGTCCGGAAAGAGATTTTTGTTTCCCACTCACTTTTCATTCATTCAAAAATCTCTCTTTTCTGGTACCTTTTTGGGGCAAGTTCTCTAACGACTGCTATCCGCATGTAGCGATGCGCAAAAATCTCTCAACATGCACTTCCTGCACCTCATTAAACTGCCAACATTCAACTTAATTAAAAACGTTTTCAGCCAACTGTCAACGCCTGGCCTTATCTCCATAATTTTTCGCCGCCGTCGCACATCTGCCACTGAACAGCAGAAAATGGACGCAAAAAAAAAACAAGAGAAGCAGAGCAGAGCGAAACGGTGTGGATCGGAGAAGATATGAATAAAAGTGAAGCGACCGCCCACAACATTGCGACTGACAGTAGCCGGGGGCACATCCATGCCAAAAACGGGCAACCACCGGTGGCTGCCAGCAGTCACAGCCAACGCGTCGCTCAACACGTTGACAGATTTGGTCTTGTCTTGTTCAACCTGCCTGCGAGGAGAGGAGCAAAGCACAGCTTGCCTGCCACAGGCCCACTGACAACTTCATATTGTTTTGTGTTGTGTTGAGGTGGGCACACTCTTGCGGCATTTTGCTGCTTTTTATTCACATCATCATCATCCTCAACAGACCGTGGAGAGGCGGCCAATCAGAGCAGTTGGCTCAGAGCTTGGGAAGGAAGGGAGTGAGAGAGGGAGAAAGAAGCTTGGGGGCACCCACCCGTTCCGCATCAACTGTCATCGTTTGTCAGCTTATAGAAACTAAACTCGTTGGCAAGATGTATGACCAGTTAGCCGCTCGCCCAGAGTCACACAGACGCGGAGCCAGACGCATGCTGAAACTGCAACTCCATCTCCATTTCCATTTCCATTTCCATCCCATTCTCCCCGGTCGCTGCGTCTCATGCATAATTCATGGCAGAGAGCGAGATGTCGATGCTGCCAGCGGAGCGGAGTGGAATGGAGTCTGTGGGACTCCGCTCGAGACGATGCCACCAAAGTCTGGCCCAAGTGTTACACGCAACACGCTTCCCAGGTGATTCATTCATCAATTTCTGTCAGAGACTTACACGCGCTTACTCATCCACTCGATTCCTTGAGCTTGGGCATGGGCTTCACTTGCGCTATTCACTCACCTTTTGATCGCCGAAACGCATTTGCCGTCGCGCATTGCGACTAACATTCATGCGACAGAGGAACATGCGATGCTCGCCCTCCAGACTGGAGGCGCCACCACCACCACCACCGACACCACCAACGCTGCCATTGCTGGACGTTGAGTCGCCGCTGATGCCAACGCCGCCGCCGCCGCCGCCAGCAGCGCTGCTGTTTGCCTGGCTGCCACCTGGCTGCGGTGGCACGTTCCGATTTAGCTCGGCCTGGATGGTTGCGTGATCCTGTTTGTCAATGATATCGTAAACGGAGTCACCATGTATCAGCAGATCCTCCTAAAGTCAAACGAGAGGGGAGAGAGAGACAGAGTTGAAAAAAGTTTACACTGGTCAGCAAATAGTTGGGTACAATGCAGCAACTATTAGAGAGATATTATTAAGCATTTTGGTTGCCTTACAATGCGAGTATATACAAGATGTTAAGTTATTTGTATGCTTAAATTTTAAAGCAAATTATTAACTAAAAATGTATGCAAAATTTCCATCGCCAGAATGTATTTTCTTTTGCAATTCTTTTAGGTATTATTGTGGGCAGAGATCTTCATTTATTTCCCCACTATAATCCTCCCCACCCACAGTCATGCCAATGAAGCCAAATATTGCAGCTCTCTGAGCGCGCATCTGTCTCCATTTATGGTGATTAAGGATAATGAAATTTCAGTTCAATTAGTCAGTCGATTGCTTTTAATTTGTTAATGATGTGTCAGCCAGTTGTTGTGGCTTTTGCACGCTCATCTTGGCTTTGTGTGTGTGTTGGCAATTGTTGCCTGTTGGCCGTTTATGTCATGAGCTTTTATTATAGTTGACAATTATGGCCATAGAGCTGGCCAAAAGACAGATCGATAGAGTAGGAGAGAGATAGAGAGAGAGGAGAGCGATCAGAAATGAAACTAAACGAACGTTTGGCCAATTTATAATGGCATGTTGTTGTTGTTGTTGTTGTTGTTGCTGTTGTAGTTGTAATTTATTTATGGCCACTGTCGCTACATGACACATGACAATGGCAACTTGTTATGGGAATATGCAAAAATCGAATTCAAATTATGATGCCCAACAACCAGGCAACAACAGCAACAGCATTAGCCACACAGCAACATCGGCTATTGGTAGAAGCAACAGCAACAGCAGCAGCAGCAACAACAACAGCAGCAGCAGCAGCAACAGCAGCAGCAGCAACAACAATGTTGCCAAGATCTATTGACATTTTTGGCAGTTTGTTAATTAACTTTGCTGTTAGTTGTTGCTGCTGCTGCTGCTTGTTGTGGGTTGTTGCTGCTGCTGCCACTGCTGCTGGTGGTACCCTTGTTGCTGCCGCTAACTAACTCTCTGCCTTGCCACAAATTAAAAGGTTGGGCAATCCACTTTTGGGCCTGTCCATGTGCACACCAATTCCGTTTATTGTGCCCGTAATTATGCCAACACATGGCATACGAGTAAATTTATGAACTTCACTGACCATTTAGTTGCTGCTTTGCTGCATGCTGCTTGCCTGTGGGTGTCTCCCAGTTCCACTCCCAGACTCAAAGACTCTTGGCCGGGCTACGGCCACGGCAACAAACGCTTCGACTCTGACTCCTCTGCACTCCTGATAAGGCCCGGCACAAAGGCCAAAAGGCTGTCAAATGTCATGGTTGCCAATTGGAAACTTTTTTTTTCCCCTTGTCTTGTTCTTGTCTATCCTCTGACTGCCTTTCAAGAGCGGGCGGGAAGCGAAGGCAGGCAGGCAGGCCCCCATGCAACAAGAGTGTTGTTGTTAGCTGCTGCACTGAGGCTTTAGTTGATATGAAAGGTTGTCTGGCTAAAAAAAAAATAACAAGTGGCCTCATACCGCATGTCGAGCGGCTGGCCACAGGGAAAGGCCCCTTTTTGATAGGAAGCTGATCGAGTTTTTCGGGGGTATACGTACGTACGAGTGTCTCAGGCCATTTGAACAAACAATTACCCACATCGGGATCCGATCTGATGCCTGGTCATGGGTTGCTGTGGCCAGCTTTGATTTATGGCATAATTTTCGCTTGATTCGCAGACACTCGTTGCACATACGCCCCGTATGCAGTCGAAGACTTAAAGAGCCCGACAATCACCTGGCGGCACATACTTCGTACTATAATCTCGCGTACCTTTGTCAATGTCTGCGTCTGTTCTGGCAAATGTAGAACGGAGATATGTCACATGTGTGAGCGAGTCTGCAACGCGCTCAGATTTATATAAGACTTTGGTTCAAATGCAAAGTGAAAGGCCAAGTACATGCCACAACACTCTGCGAGTATATATGCGAGAGATAAATACGTTTATTTAGATATGTATAACCTTGCTATTTAAGCAGCATAAACGTGCAATAAACAAAGCTTGAAACACGGTCAACAACAACAGCAACAGCAGCAGCAGCAGCAGAAACAGCAGCAAAATCGAGCCGCAGTTTTTAAGGAACTTTTGTGTAGTACTCGTAAAAGTAAAACGGATTTATATAAGCTCAATGAATCGGGCCTTGTGTCGCTTTCTCGCTCTTTAGGTCTTTAGACAGTTGCTAAACTTGTCAACGGGAGCAGTCACAGCAACAACAGCAACAACAACAGCAGCCACAAACAACAGACAAAAACTTGCAACAAATATGTTGCTGCTGCCGCTGCCACTGCTGCTGTTCCGAGTCTATGACATGCTCTGACGACGACGACAGGCATCGTCGTTTGCCTGTTGTCGCTTGTCAGAGATTTGTATCACGGGTTGTAACAATTTTACCCCTTAAAGAAAAAGGAAATACTCGTACCAAAAACAAACAAAAACAACCCCAAAAACAACTAAAACAAAAGCAAAACTTTCGCAAAACTTTGGCCAAAACTCTTACCATGGAATGGCCCAAGTACTCGGCCGCATTATCCGATATATAGAGCAATTTGCCATTTTGTGTGAGCATCATCAGGAAGCCGGAAAGTGCCTGCAAGACAAATATATGTGGATGAGCAAAGGGGGTTTACATACAGATTAAATGGTTGCTTACGACTAAGATGCATTCTAATTGGTAAATTAATTTTTATTTTACCTTAAAAATATATGTTAGGCGTTTTAAAAAAATAAATTCTGGTAATTACTTAATTATTGCAGTTTTAAAACAGGCTTAACCTCACTGCATTAAATTTAAAATATCACAAATGCATTAACTTCGAATAAAAAAAATCATGGAAATCCAAGGAAAAGAAAAGAAATTTCACTCTTAGAAAATTTAAATCTGTATGAAAATGATACTCAGACATCTTTTCTTTTTTTAAATAAATTAATTTGTTTAATTTACATTAAAACATGAGCATAATTGTCCTCCAATTGTTTTCAATCTATCCAAGAGCATATGTAAATATAATTTTTAATTAATTTAATTATTCCAATTAAAAAACTAAAACCTCATTAACAATCACCAAAATGGCAGACAATTCCACTCTTAACTGGCTAATCAAAACCAACTTGTTATGTGACACCCTCTATTTTTGCAACAAAAAAAAATATATATATAAATTGAATCTTGTGTTGGAAATGCAAATTCATTTTCGCGTCTGCACACTAATAAATTGTTAGCCCAAAAGCCCGGCCTAGGCTCGCGTTGACAACTGACAAACGAAAAAAAAAAAAAAAAAAAAAAAAAAAAAACAGTCACAAGGAGAATAAAAAAAAAGAGTGGTTGAGGTTGGGTGGCGAGGGGAAAAAGAAAAGAGTAGTACTATGACTATGGCTGGTGGATATACATAGTATTTAATTCAGTCACGAGTGTGCACAGGTATGTAGATCAATCTGGCCCGACTGGAGCAGTCAGTGCCAGGCAGGCAGCTCTTGACTGACTACTGTCTGCTCCTGGTGGCTTTTGGGCAAATCTTTAGCTTTTTTTTTCCTCCCGGGCATTTATTGTTTTCGCCTCTTCTCGCTTTTGGCGCAGCAAGTGGCGGCGGCGGCGGCGGCCACAAATGATTTCTGACTTATGATATGGCCGGCCAGCTTTTGTGCCATTAATAGAGTTGTTTTCCCGGGAACTTTCGGTTGAGTTGTCACTGCGATTGCTTAAATTGAGTTGTTTCTCTCGGTTCGGTTTTGCATCGCTTCGTCATCCTTCTGGCTACCCCTGGGAGCCAAATCAAAATGTCATCAAAGCGCGCGCAGCTGCACAGGCTTATACTATGTTATGGTAAATGAATGCAGATATTTTCTGCAATCTACCTCCTAATTATCCCCCGATTGGATATGAATTGTTGGAAAATTTCTTGTGAAATTCAATCATTGCTTACCTTCGAGAAGCCAATATTTGGTGTTGCTGTCTGATGATGATGATGGTGCATGGCATTGTGACGCTTAAAGACTGCAATGAAATGGGGGGAGAAAACGGAAAAGCAAATTGATAAAAAATAATGGTAATTAAGTTAATTGTGTCGTTTGTGTCTTGCGCAGGCGCGCCGCGCCCTACGATCAGGAGATCCGTCTGAAGCGGAATAAAAAACGTCCCCACTAAGTGGATGTGTGTATTTTCCCATGGCTGTAATTTATATGCACAGCCAGTGGCTAATTAAAAAACTATCTGTTAATAATACACTCGCTGTGTCTGCCACTTTGGGGACGGCAATTGTTAGATGCATTCGATTGCTAATTCATTGATTATATTCCACATACAATGAGCAAACGATACTATGTTTGTTTGGCTTACAAAAACAAGTGAATCACAAAAAGAAAATGTGTCATTGTCACTTAGAGAGGCAGCCGCAGCAGCCGCCAAAGCAGCAGCAGCAGCGGCAGCAACAGAAACAGCAACAGCAACATCAGGCAGCGATCTCCAAGTGCAATTGCCGTTTTGCAGCTGCATTGCAGGCCGCATCAAGATCAATTATTTTTCAAACACTACGAGATACTCCCGCACCTGGCAAACAAAACAGACAGACACACAGCAAAAAAAAAAAAACAAAGCCAAGAAACGGCCACAAAATCAGCATCATCGGGCCGCAATCAATGCAACAGCAGCGGCAGCAACAGCAGCAGCAGCAACAGCAACCGCAACTGGTAATTTCATTGAACTTGAACGGAAAGGCCATGAATGCAGGCGGATTTTCGTCGGGCTTTAATATCCACTCCTCAGTATCCACTATACAATACGAATACTCAGAAATCCGTTTTGCCAAGAAGTCTGTCGTCAGTGTACTTGAATCAGCCTTCTGCCGTTTCACCCCACCCCACGCCACCCCACCCCTGCCAACCGACAATGGGGTGTGGCAGACAGTTCAAAGCTTTTCCACTTAACTTTTGGTACACAAGGGCAAGGGAATGTTGTTGTTGTTGGAGCTCAGGCTGTTGAAAATATCTCAATATTAAGCCTCAAGAATCTGTTTCTAATTAATCTGCATTTGTTGAACAATTATTTATTGGCCAAATGGCAGTTGACAATAAACAGCTACGAAGCTGGTGGGAAATTATGCATTTCCTAGATCTTTCAAGAGAACTGACTATGAAGTCAGATAATTCAACCTGCCTCAGCACCTGATCGATCATACATAAAATATGAAAATTATACATAATTGCAGGTAGTTAAAATATGTTGCCAATGTAGTATTATTTTTTATTGCAACATTTTCATTCACTTTTATGGCAAATATCTGCATAATTAGGGTTTATGATTCATTGACTTCAAGGATTTTTCTGTATAGTATTTTTAAAAAGAATAATTTACGCTCAAGGACTTTCTTTCAAGAAAATATAAGTACTTTTTGCTCAATTTAAATACTATTAAGAACATTAAAAATGTTTAAATAAGACATACACGATGTTCAATGAACCAAAGTCCAAAAGAAGTGCCAGCCTATTGATTTTAAAAATTATTCGAAATTATTCAGGCTGCCCATTCCAAGCTTGTATCTGTGGCTAAAAATGGAACAACGAAAGATATGCCTAGTCTATCTCTTTTGTACGAATATTTTGCTAAAATCACACCCACTGGGTAAAGCGAAAAACTATTTTTAGTCGGTGATCACTTCGCAGGTTATTTTATGACGCTCTTGCGATTCGCTGGCAAATATGACACTACTAAATGCTTGCCAATTAAGTATACGGTCTTGAAAGCGATACAAGCCTGCCGCCGGGCTCAAGATATTGCCAGGCCAAGCAAGGCGCAGAAAAGAAAAAGATTCTTATTGTATTGAAAACTCAATTTCGTTTTATAAATATGTATTTCATTAATCGCGACTATCTTGAAAGCCACACCCACATACTCGTGCTCGTACTCACACCGCCAGAGAGCGAGAGAGGGAGAGAGCATCCATTGAACTTGGATGGCGACTTCGATGGCGTGCCAATATTAACACAATTTGTGATTATAAATGCTTTTAAACGGTGCAATGACAATGAACAATAACAACCAGCCACGGCAGCAACAAACACACCCCAAATATAACCGAAAGATACAGGCCAACAAAACGCCGACAATTTCTCACACTTAGCCCCCAAAAGAGAGGCACAGATAGCAGATAGATAGAGAAAGAGAGAGCGCGAGCGCGAGCGCTAGTTGTGGATGGAGAAGAAAAGGCAGTACTTAAGTTTAATTTTTTGCAATTTGTAGAACACATAAATCGCAAATTTTGATTTATCGCAATATTTATAGCAATGCCAGGCAGACGCTCGTTGTTACCATTGCAATTGTGAAATTGCCTGCCCCAGACATAGTCGTACAGCTTGGGTCTAGGCCACAGTTGGAGGAGTTTGTGTTGGTTGGTTGTTGTTGCTGCTGCTGCCATGCCATGCCATGCCATGCCAGTGGTGGATAGGTATGCCATGGATCTGCAATAGTTTCGCGCAAACCAAACCGAGTTCACATGGGTTTCCTTTGGGTTTGCTTCGGGTTCGTTTCTGTCTGCGCCGAGATGCGAGCCGAGAGTTAAGAGTTTCGAGTCTTGTGTGTTATCTATGGGCTTATGTACCGCACAACGCTAATTTGAAAAACAATTTTCGTAATTATCCACAAAATACAAAAAAAAAAAAAAAAAAAAAAAACAACAAAAACGGCAAAAAATAGCAGCAGAAATGGGTAAGTAAAGAGCGAACGATCTTGTTCGGTTGCGCGTTGACCTGCGAGCATGCGCATTAAAGGAGGATGGGACCGACTCTGGCATCGAGGCATCGAGAGCAGGGGGACTCTGGGCAATTTTGGCCCGCCTGGGTGCGTGCCTAGACGCTTAGGCAATTACTTGGCCAAAAACAATTTCAGCCACAAGTCGCAGGGGGGAAGCGAATGATAGAGGGACACTCGACATATGAATGATGTTGATTTAAACCGAGCCATGCGCATGTGACTGTGACTGCGACTGCGCCTAGCGGTTTATTTTGGCCTAAACGAAAGCTAGCCAGCCAGCCCATGCGATGGCGGCGGTGGGTCGCAATCTTCCTTTCGCGGACTCTCGGGACCCCAATCTTGGCCACAATCTCCATCTCCATCTGCTCATGACTCATGCATATTCAATCAACGTGCAGCCAATTATCAGCATGCATATGCAACGGGCTCTGGATGCTGTGGGGGTACGACTCTGGGGAGAGGGTTCTCGGGCTTACCTTGTTGAAAATAGTTGGCTTTCCGCACATACACACAGACCAGCGCCATCAGCTGCAGCTGCGAGAGTCGCTGGCGCGTCGATTGTGGCAATGGCAGCAGATCCCTCAGATTGGCTATCTCGGCATTTATAAGATCGCGTCGCATCTTGGAGGCGCCCTTGGTCGATTTGTTGGCATCGAACCTGCAACAGAACAGAACTCGGTTAGGAGAGGCATAAGGAAACAATTAGAATATATGAGCACGTTCACAGCTAAAGCTTAATAAGCGGACACAGCAGACAGACACACCACACACCAGACACCGGACAGCGGCCAGCGGACACCACACACATAACTAGCCGCCGGCACAGACCAGACCAGGCATGTGTTTTCACAGCCGCCTACTCGGGTGTGTTTCACTGTACCACTGTGGGGCCAATGTGAGTGTGTCTCCTTCGCACTGTCAGTCGGCATTAACCCGCTAGGGAGCTGTGTATGCTAATGGCTTCGATTGGGAATTCTGAGTGGAATTTTATGGAATTTGTTGAAACTTTTGTTCTGGCTTTGTACTTTGTTAGCTAATAACTAAATCGACAAAATATCTAAATGAATGCAACAATTGGGCTTGGGTTCTTAAGGAATTTATGTGATTTTAACTAATGTTTAAAGACTTAATCCTTCATGGAGTAGTGGCTTATGGTAATGGGAATTGTTAACGAATTTTCAAAGAATTTTTGAGCAATTTGCTAAATGTTTTGTTTTGGTACATAGAAAGAGAATGTCTGAGGAACTTTGACTGGAGATATTTATTCGAAACTCAAATAAGACTTAGGTCCATTTTAAATATTCGTAAGTAAGTGACATATTTCTTTGGACTACCAATTAGTTTTCTGTAAAAATGTAAGACCCAATTAAAATACAACAAATAAGTTTATAAATTTCATCTTTGACATTTATATGCTAAGACGCATTATCTGCAATTAATAAAACACTAATGTATGCACATGTACATATGTACATATGTGGGAACTGGTTTAGTTAATAAATTTTGAACGGAAATCTGGTGATAACTGTTTGAAAACCGATAGAATTTTTTAAGAGACTTAATTTATGCCGATTCTACTGCTGCTTCATGCTGATTTTGTTTCATCTGCATCTTCCAGCACTGCTAAAACTTGTCAGCGGCATTAAAGCATTTAAGTAGAGCAAAATCTAAGCCAATATTATTTTCTAATAACGATTTGAGTACTTTATTAAGTACGCTATGGGTAAACAAATAAAAATGATGTATGTATCTTTCGTTTAGCAATAGATTCGCATTTATTATTAAGTGATTCTCGAACTGCAACAACTGGCAACAATGGGTTAAGGATGGATCGCACATACCAAAGCCCCGATGCCCGATGCATAAATAACTCATCGCGCATTTAAAAATCATACAACAAGCAGTAAGTTGTGGCTGTTTCTGTTGTTGGTTGTTGGTTGTTTGCAGTGGTTTTTGCAGGCAGCGTGTGGTTTGATGTGGGGCACACTTGCCACATGCCTTGTGCGGAAAAAATTGTGCAAGTAGGTTGGTCTGGTCGGGTCGGTCAGTCTGCTGGATTGTTGGTTTGTTGGTTTGGATTTGGTTTGGTTTGGTTGTTCATTCGTTATGCTTGTTGTTGTTGCAAGCGGCGCGGCGAGCTGCACAAACGTTTAGCAGAACTGTCCGTGTGTACTTTTGTGAGCATATTATTTACAAGGTTGAATTCATAAATCATAAATTTGTCTTTTTATGCAGCGGCGTCTGCGTCCCGTCCTCACCGGCGCATGCGGCGTATGAGCATTTTTTTTTATTTATGCTGACGTCGATCGGGCCCATTGTTGTAGTTGTTGCCCCGGTGGGTCAGGCCATGCTGGTGGGTGCTGGTAGTGGGATCGGGGTGGTGGTTCGGGGGATTGAGATTTTGCAAGCCAGCGAGAGAGCTTTTGATAAATATTGGTAATATTGTTGTAATAACAGCAAGTGCCCGCGCCTTTTTGGCTTTCTCGTCGACCGTTGTCGACTGTCTGCCATTTTGCCGCTGTTATTGCCTCTAAATGGCCATGTTAACATTTAAAACAATCTCACTGTGTCCGTGTGTATCTGCATCCACGGCTGCTCTATGCGCCAGTGTGAGTGTGTGAGTTGAGTGTTGCATGCAACCGCCAGCAGCGAGGCACAGCACATGCAAAGCGCACCGAATCGTACCGAACGCCATCCATGGCCTGGGGGCCAAACCGCAGCCGCCACCACCGCCGCCGCCGCCGCCGCGTTTGCCTTCTGGCTTTGAAATATATTCATCGCGTTTTGCTGCCCTCCCCACTGCCCGGACACACTGTGCGTCTTGGCCATAATAGAACAGATTTGGTTTTGGCCCAGAATTGAGTGGTCGAGCGGTCGCGCGGTCGAGTGGCTCAGCGGCGCTCGCACACACATTTAAGTCAAGGTGATTTGTACAATTAAAATGAATATTGATTTAAATGCTGCGATTGTGGTCAGACCCCCTGACATATGTATGTATGGTTCACATGTGTGGCAAGGAGAAGGGCGATTGTTGGCTGTGTGGGATTTGATGTGGTTACGTGGTGAAGGGTCTGCCAACGAAAACTGTAGAAAATATATATGGGAACATTTTGCAGCACGATCAATAACTTTGTGGCAGTACCATCCTCCCCTCTGGGGCTTACACTTTTCCAATTAGCTGCATAAAAATGTCAAAAGCTTTTGCAATCTGCTTATCTGGCCTGGCTATTTGTGGCATAATTAATAAGTCTACCAAATATTTATCATAAACAAGATTCCAGTGGCATGGGCGATAATATGATAATGCCATCATCCTTTCGTAGTGCATGCCAAAAATAAAAAAATAAAAAAAAAACACAAAGAAAACCAAAAAAATTAAACTCAACAAAATAAAGCCCAAAAACGTGTTAATGGCTACGGCACAAGCAGCGGAGAGTTTGAGATTTATCTGGATAGCAGCGGACTCCCGCACATATTTTGGGGGAGGCTTTCGCGGGGCTGCTGCTGGCTGCTGCTGGCTGCTTCTTGTAATCTACATCAAAATTTATCTGAGTGAGCGAGACATGTCAACATTTCTTAATATATCTATCGCTACCTTGAAATCTGCACTAAGTAGCACCAACTTGTTGCCGTTGTTGCTGCTGCTGCTGCTGCTGTTGCTGCTGTGGCAACTACTGTACAAGTTGTTGTTGCTAATTAAAAGCATAAACACGATTCTTAGCGAGGCGTCAGCAGCAGCATCATCGAGGAGAGTATGGCCTGAAGGCGGGTGTGGGATCAGTAGCCACTGCCCCAGACCCACTGCGCGTTGGTGGTGTACAGACCCCAGGCACCAGACCCACAGAGCCACAGAGCCACATGCTTAATCTGAGACTGGGGATCCTCTTGCGCGCACTCGAAAGATCTTAATCAAGAGCGGTCCTGGCTCTGGCGGTTGGTACGTTCAACGCTCGACTAGATAAACTCCAGAGCCCAAAAACTGAACGTGCTCTGAAGAAATTAGGCACAAATCTTGTTCCAGTTCGATTGCGATTCCTGCGATCAGTCCAATGATGCCATGCCCAATGCCAATCTCAGTCTCTCACTAATTAGCACATAAACCAGCAGGGAGAGAGAGAGACCAGAGAAACATAATGCCAAAACTATTAACTTAAATGGATTTTAAATGCGCATCTATGGGCGCAGTTGGATCTTCTTCTGAGTGATTTTATGGCAATGGCCCTCAGAGCGCCATCGTTAAAATTTGTGCAGCAAATAAATCACAAAGAACGCTGCAAGAACTCCCTCACCTCATCCTCAGAGCAGGAGTAGGAGTAGGAGTAGAAGAAGTAGAAGGGCCACCACGTATCAATCCAAAGTCGAGTTTTAATATGCATCAGGGGCGTCAGTCAGGACAAGTCGAGTCCCAGCCCAGATATGCCAGAGATACCAGAGACTCCCAGAGTCAAACTGCAGCTCCAACTGAGTTCAATTCGCCGAGAGTCAGTCAATACCAATTGCAGGCCAAGAGAAACACGAAATTTGCGCAAATTTTTATTGCACTTTTCCTGGAGCGTCTTGTCTTGGCTTGACTTGTGCGAATTGTCTAGTCCCCCCCCACCGACTAGATATCTCTCTTGCTCCCTTTCGATTCTCTCTGTGTGTGTGTGTGTGTGTGTGTAATTTGGGCGAGTTTATTTGCCATATTCCCACGATATAGTTTGGCCAGGGTATTGGGCTTGCGGGCAGCTCTAATGATTTCAGCCTCCCTCTTTCTCTTTCGGCATCTTTTGCAGCATCTCTGACTGCAACGGGGAACGGAACCGAACAAAAACAAAAAATAGTGCAAAACGGCGTATAATGAATGCCAGACCAGACCTCAAACTGATGGGCAGTTCTCCGACTCTCTCTCTCTCTCTCTTTCTCGCGCGTCCCGAGTCCCGAGTCCAAGTTGCAGCCAGTCTGAGCTGAGCTTTTCGGTAACCCTAAACCCAGCCGCCTGAACTGAACCCACACCAAGTCCGACCTGAGTCAAATTAATTGCCCAGGCGCCGCACAATGCTTTCCATTTTTCGGTTTCTGTGGATTTCTTGGAATTCTGTGTGAGAAACACTTGTTGGGTCTGCAGCAGAGCACCGCTCTGCTCCTCTCTGGGTCCTCATTTTGCCGGGTGCCTTATTGTATTCTGCGTAAGTCAGTGGCAGTAATCGATACCTTTGCCACCGCGCTGCGTGCCCCAAACACACACCAACATACACACACCAGCACACCTACAGATTAGCATCGGGGCGACGTTTAGTACACAAAAAAACTAAGGAAAAAAAAAACGCTGGCTGAATGTTGGCCATCTAATAACCATGGGGTGCTCAGCGGTTGGTTGCGGCCTTTAACCAAATTATATGGCAGGCCATAGGTAAGAGGAGTTGCCTCAGGTGTGTATTGATGGAGGAGGAGCAGCAGCAGCAGCAGCAGCAGGCCAAGCCAGGCACTCTGCCCATAGACATAGATGTAGGCATCTCACCACGTAATGTTGGCAGCTTAGGCTTAGTGGACTGAAGAGGAGCCCATGTGCAGTGCTTTCGATAGGCTGTCATTCGGTTAAGCACTCTGATTGATATACACGGATAAATGTGCGCTGGCTGTTCAGTGGCTGGCTGGCTAAGAGAAGAACTTGCAAGCAGTTATAACATTTGATTTAGGTATCTTAAGGAACATTTTCAGAGAGATAAATGTAGATTTAGAGAGTGTCACTCCGATTAAATTCCAACGCATCGCATCGTATGACATTTTCAATTAAAAACCGCCAACAAATCCGAGAGCAAAAGCCTCAAGGATAGCCACAAATCCATATTCTTATCCCTAACCCTTCGATCCTTCAATTAAGTCAATCAATTAGACGACTTACGAGTTTTGTGGGTGCCCCGCAAGTCGTAGCCATATAATTTACTGCTCTCAAAAGCCCATAAAGAAGTCTGGCGGGGCAGTAGCTACTGTGTTTATTTTGACGCATATATTTGTAAAAATCGCAAAACCACAACACAACGGCATGATCATGCCACACCACACCACACCACACCATGCCACTGAGGCAAGAGGCTGCGGTCGCAGCTGAAAATTTCATTGCCTCAAAAGAAATGAATTCGAGTGGCTACCGTTGATGGGGACTGCTCCGGTTCGGATCGGTTCGCTTCTCCCCCCCCCCTCCCCCTCGTTGCCTTGCCTTGTCTTGTATGTTTGATTGGAATCTTAGCCACAATTTAATGATGGACTGCCAAAAGCACACTTCGATGATGATGATGATGATGACGACGGTCGTCATCGGTTCAGTTCGGTTTGGTTCGGCCTGGACTTGGACATCGTCATTTGTGGCAGGGACTGTTGGCTGCTACTGTTGCCACCGACGCCGCCGCATAATTTTTCATATTTTTATGATTTGTTGCTACCGGGTACTAAACCCGTTCCTTTTTTTTTTCTTTCTTTTTTTTTTGTTTTTTTTGTTTTTGGTTTGAGCCTAACCATGGAGAGCTGCTACCGTTGCTGCATTTGCTTTCGATTATCTTAATTTGCGTGCGAAACTGAGTTTTTTCCACTACCCTGGCCCCAGCTTCAGCCACAGCTCCAGCTACAGCTACAGCTCCACCTCCACCAGATTCTCTCTCCTCTCTCTCTCTCCAGTAAGCGTAAGCCAAACCCCAAATTGTGTGTGTACGGAAATTTTCCCATGACTTGGGCTCTTTGGGGTTCTTGGTCTGGGGGTCTGGAGTCTGTACGAGAGTATATTTTGTGCCCGGCGGTGGCTTGGCCAGAAATTACCCCAACTATGCTGCTACCACTGCTACTCTTGGGCCTGAGACTCACCGGATTGATGGTTAGCCTGGCTGCTGAAGCTGCAGCTGAGGCAGCTGAGGCAGCTGAGGCAGCTGAGGCGGCTGAGACTGCTGCACTTTACCGTCAGGCAATTAGCACAAGGATGCCGCAACTAAATAATTTGGTAAGCCCCAGGGCAAAGTTTTCTTACCATCTTTGGCCCAAGGTGAAGGCGGCGCACTTATTTGCTCAGCATTTCATATTTTGAGCGGGGAGAAATGTCTGCTCAGAGCAGCATCAGCATCAGTTTCGACGCGCGTCACCAAATATTGATCAAAGCAATTAGATAAAGCATCAAATGCACTGTCAGAAAATCATAGATTAGAGGTTGATATCAATTTCTAGGGAAATTTCTAGGGTTTTAGGTTGATGCTGCGCTGGCCACACAAAAATATTTTCCCAGTGTATTGGCATCCATGGCATTTATATCTGGTGCAACAGCCACTGCACCAATGTATTGGACATCCCAACGTGGATGGGTAAATAGCATTGCTCGCTGGGCTGCTGCTCGCTTTTCTCGTGAAATGTGTTAATGAAATTAGCAGCATAAAATTGCTGTCAGAGCCGCCACAGTGCCAGCAGAGCAGAGCAGAGCAGAGCAGAGTGCCCGTGCCCTAGCCCATGCAGTGTTACAGATACGAAAATTGTATCTGTATCTGACGGCACATGCTAATTGCCAAAAAATTAACACCATTGGCACAGGCCCAAAACACACACACACAACAGACGCAGCAACGGTTTCGGTTAGTTTCACTCAGGAAGCACCTCTACATCTACCTTTAACTCCATCCAAATGCATTTCAGAGGCGGCTCTCTCAGAGGCGTCTTTGGCTTTGACTCTTGGTTTTCCTTGGCTTTGGTTGATTTCCTTCTGGGATTGTGTGTGGTGGATTGGTTCGAGGTTTGTTGACTCTACTGGCGCTGCTGCTGCTGCTGCTACTGCTGCTGTTGGATGTGTTAAAAACAACAAAACACCAAGTTTTCTTCGTTTTAATTAGTGTCATTTATTATTTAGAGCATATTGATATAGTTTTCGTTGTTTAACGGTTGTTTGTTTCAGTGTTTTTTTGTGCTGGCATTCCTTATTGTTGGCATTTCTTGTTCGAGCATGGAAAATATTTATAGAAATCTACCGCATCCGTTTACCATTACAATCTACAATACACTGTATCTGTATCAGCATCTGCATCTCTGTATTTGTGTGTTTATGGCAGAGCGCGTGCTGCTTTCCCGTGCGAACAGTAAACTTATTTTTTTGGGCGCATTTAAGTTTTAAATTGTTGGGAATTCCAAATATGTCCATGTGCTAATTGATAGTTTTGATGGGTCACGTATGAAAACCACATGAATGAACTGAGCTTAGCTAGTAGTAAATTCATCTATTTTAATATTTATTTATTGTAATATTGATGATAAACTATCTGAAATATTTGTAAATCTTTTCGGTTTTTATCTACAAATTTCTAGAAGGTTTATCTTTATTTTTAGCTATATTTTTCTATTATAGTAATACTGATCAAATTATTTCTGTTAGGCCTTCGATTGCATTTTAGTTTTCTCAGCAATTTACTTATTTCAATCAAATATTTCCTTACGATTTTCATTGATCTAATCTATACGATTAAATCCCTTACAGTCAGGGTCCTCCAATTGCCTTTTTTATAATCATTAGGTTTATCAGAACATCTGCTAAGAACATCTCCAATTTAAAAAGTTCTACCAAGATTAATTAATTGATTTTCCTGCAAAGAATTTTCCTTGCATACTCTGCCAAACTGCTCGATCTGCGTGTCGCCAGCTCGTCACCGTCTGGAACTTATCAATTGGTTAATGGTTCCGCTCAGTTGCTACTACAAAATGGTCTAATTTCTATGGGTATGCCGCTTCCGCTCGCCACCAGCAAATGTTACACCCACCCAAAGAAGGCAACAGAAACAGAGACAAGAGCAACACCTACCCACACGAAAAAAAAGAAAAAGAAAGAGTTCCTCCTGCTGCTGCTGCTGCAGAGAACAAAAAAGAAAAGCGAAACGAACAAAGAACGAGCCATCAACAACATCACACGTGAGTTTTACACATTTCAGAAGCAACGGCAGCCAGCGAGATGTGCCTAACTCCGTTGGCATCTCCACAACGTTGCTGTTGTTGTTGTTGTTGGTGGTGCTGGTGGTGGTGGTGTGGAGACGCCTTTTATTTTTTTTTTTTGGATCCTTCGTAGTCGTTGTCGCCGCCGCCGTCGTCGTCTTCGTGGACGTCCGATTGCCAACGTGGTAATGTCAATCGCACTGTGCGGGTTTAACTTATGGCAAAACATTTGAAGCACTAATTAATTGGAGCTAAATAAAATGGCACAGCATCTTCAGTTTCAGCTTCAGCTTCGGCTGCAGCTTCAGTTCTCCAACTCTCCCGCTTCGCTGCAGTCTCAGCTTTAGTTCAGAGTGAATTTTGCGCGTTTTTCTTCGTTTTCGCGAATTGGCGCTGTGGGTAAGGGTACGGGTACGGGTATGGGTACGGGTACGCAGAGTGGATTGGGGCTGGCTGAGAAGATTACGAGAGCCAGATAAATGCGAACTACAAGTTGCCAATACAAGAGGCCATTAAAACCGGCAGCAGCAGCAGCAGCCTCAGCCTCAGCAGCAGAAGAACTAACCGAAAAGCAACAAAAACAAAGTGAAAATCGGTAGAAACAAGCGGAGAAATCCCCCTGACGAGAAACCGAAAGGAGTACCTTTTGGTGGGGTGGGGAGAATGGCTTGGCTCAGCCCGCCAGCCACCAGCTCCCAGCCAGGGTTTTTGCGAACGAACTTGGCCTCGTATTTCAAATCCGAATTGACAAATATCGAAGCGTGCGAAACAAATTGAAATTAAAAGTTTGCATGTTTGGGCAGGCAGTTCCTGATGCGTGCCTGCCGGAGCGGAGCTGGGCAGTGTGGGGCGGGGTGGTTGATGATAAGGTCTCCAAAGGGGGGGTCTTTCGGGTAGAATGTTGGCGCTAAGAACTTACCTTGTAAACATGCCGGCTGTCTGTTGCTGCTGCTGCTGCTGCTGTTGTGCTGTCTGTTGCTGGTGTTGCTGCTGCTGTTGCTGTTGCATATGTTGCTGTTGCTGCTGTTGTGACAATGCTGCTGGTGTTTCGTGTGGCTGGAAATTATGATGCGTATGCATTTGATGCTGCAAATGCTGATGCTGTTGGAGTTGTTGCTGCTGTTGCTGCTGCTGCTGCTGTTGTTGCAATTGCAACACATGATGGTGCATATGTTGTGGTTGTAGCTGCTGCTGTTGTAGGGCAATGGTGGGCGCGGTGGCGGCCGTCACCTTGTCTAGGCCACGTTTATTATCCGCATACATATCGTGGCGTCGTCGCACGTTCGCAAATATTTAATCCCAATTCTAAAAGTAAGAAATGACAGGGCATTTTTCGTCTTAGTCGCAGATTGTCACGGTTATTTGTGCAAAAATTGTGTGTGTATGCCCAACAATAATGGTAAATAATAAAAAAAAAAATATCAATCAATATGTAGATCTTAATGAAAGTCTGCAGACTCTATTTTTTTGTTGCTCGATTTGCTAATGAAATGAAACAACAATTGTTGATTAGGTCTGTTTTTTTTTATTATTATTTTTTTCCCCCTTTGGCCAATGGCCAGTCTCAAAACTCACACACAGCAATACCGTAGAGCCCGCAGACGTAGCTACAGAAAATAGTTCAAATATTGTTTGAATTGTTTGAAGGCGAATCAATCCAAAGAACTGATTTGCATTGTTATCGACTCGTATTTGAACAATTGCCCGGAGTACCCACAATGCGGAGACGTCTCAGCCGCAGCCTCAGCTCTAACCCTTCCTCTCCCTTACTGCCTCAGCCCCTCTTCGCTGATGAGTTGGCGCTTTTGATATGGTACCTATATTTTTATTATTTGAGCATTGGATTGCATAAGGAGTTTGTTTGGTGGGGGAGTTCCAAAAATGATTTATGACATTTGATTTGGCTGCGGCCTCTGCTGGCCTGACGCATAAGTAACTAGAGGTTAATGAAATGTCTTACAACACAAATACTAAACACTCAGTGGGTTAATATCTATGTTGATCATATTGGAAACTCGTTAAGTCCTCAATAATGATCAATCAAATTGCCATTACGCCTAGAGGCTACACAGAGAGAGAGAGAGAGGGAGAGCAGTGATTGGGAATATGATAGATGGAAATCTTCAGTTTCATTTAACAATTTTCTTTTCGTTTTTATCCAAATAAATGTTTAGAATTATTGTATTTTTTTTTAAGCCATTTCAATGCTGACTTTATTGCTTATTTAAGCTGAATTTAAAAAAATAATTTTTAGGTCTTTGAAATGCTTTTTAGAGATACATATTTTGTCGGTTAAAAGCAGAGTTACGGAGTTGTATATAAGAGTTTCCATTCCAATTTAATAATGCAAAATCTTGAATATTTATAATAATTTTTAATTATTAATATTATCCAGCTAAATTAAGCTAAAACGAGTCCGATTTTAATTTTGCATTTTTTCTTATTATATATAAAATTTAGATCTGATTGATCAACTCCCTCTAAAGAACGAAATAAATAGAGTATGTGACAAAACTATTTATTGTATTCCAACCATATTTTGCATTAATATCTCAGCAAATTCAGTCGTCAAAACATTGACCCATATATCCATATATGGCACAAGAGATTCTCCCAATTTTCAACTTTCCTTTGTCCGTCTCCCTAATCATTAAATCTGGCCCCTCCTCTGGTCTATAGACAGCCGAACCAACCCACTATCACTTTCTTTCCAAATTCAAAACAAATACTGCATTTTTCCAGGCCACTTGGGCTGGCGCCAAGAAAAAACCTTCAGAGATCTCACAGCGACGTATTCTTTGGGATTCTACTGTTCGTTCGGGCGAAAAGTGCAACAATTGAAATTAGTTTTGTTAAATGAATTTCAAATTTTCTACTTGAGCACTCACTACCGTCTCCGGGGGTACCATCTTGGCCTGGCTTTTTGGTCGCTTTGTTGCAACTCATTGTCAAGTAAACTTATCACAGCGAGCGGCAAGACACCGGCCAGAGACGGGGCAAAAAAAAAAAAAATTTGTTCGAGTTGACGTTTGGAGTGTCATCGAGTCGAGGCTTGAATTTGTTTGGAGTTGTTTGAATAGGGACCACCAAAAGTCATTGAATGAAATGAAGAACTCCGCAGATATATCTCATTGTACGTGTGTACAATGTGTCTGTGTCTGTGAGTATCTCGGGCTGAATATTAGGTTTTTGGGGTTACGGTTACGGCTGCGGCTGCGTCGTTTGAGTTGGTTGCTGCTTGGGTTTTTGTTGGCTTTTTAAGTATTTTGTTGTTTGATTTCTATCAAAGTTAATAATGAAATTGGTAAATTAAGTACATGCTGTGGGGGGGCTTGGTTGTTTGGGGGACCTTGGTCTCAACTTACCTCTTTACTCGAAAGATTCAATTTGCGATATCCATTTGGTTATAGAGCTGGCTCCAACGGCATTTCGGCATAAATAATTATTTCATAATTTACTTTGATTATACACAATGTTTGACACTTGTATAACTTGTATTTAATTAATATTTGAATATATATAAGTGTATATATATATTAACTATTTACTAAGCAGATTAGATCCGAAAAGGGGTTTCTGTTGCACAATAATCGTATTTGATTAAATTTATTATTTCCTATTATTCTCAATACACTTAACACACGTGTATGTATGTATTCATGGAAAGCATCATTGCATATTCAGCACATTAGATTAGATCAAGATTTATGGGATTTCTTTGCGAGAAAACTCAGAGCTCAAAACTCAGAACTCAGAACTTCGGAACGGAATTAGCAAATCAAATTGGCCAAATGACGCACAACATCATCACTCATTAGGCATTTACTAGTTACCATCTCTCGCCGTGGCGATATATCGAAAGTTCGCGACCCCGACCGAACACCGAACACCGAACACCGACCTCGACTGCGACTGCGACTTGGACTGGCGATCCGGTCCACACAAGACGATATACCGACGGCTTTATGGTTTTGACAATTGGGGGGTGCCTTACTGGCTAATGGCAAATCCGTTTCGGATTGTCGAAATAAAAACACTCAAGAACCCGGTACTTCTCTCGCTGTGTGTTGAGGCCACAACCGTGTTGAATGCGCGCGTGCACCTTTCTGTGCGGATCACCAGAGCGACACAGAAGCAACAAACTTGATTTCGAAACAGGTAAGGTAGCTTTCGTTCAGTTTGCAGCACACGGCCAAGACGCCAAGGCGGGCTCTCACCCAATGCGGTGGTAGAACGTGCACTCACAGAAAACCAGCTGAAGGAAGTTTTAATTTAAAGCAACGATAATAATTTTTAACTGTTTCGTATGGATCGATCTTTATTTGGCATACTGGAAGATTTAATGTTTTTCATCAATTAGAGCTCGAGTGCTCAAAAAATTGCCACCAGGCTGCTATTCTAAAACGATTTATGTAAATATATACATATGTATGTATATATTATATGTAGTTGATTTTGAATATTTACTCGATGTTCACATTTATTATAATTATTATTCGACTATTTTTTTTTGTATTATTTTTTCAAAGTAATCTATTAAACTCTCGACTTTTTCGTTCAGTGTACTTACCTGAGCAATCTCAGGCACTCACAGATACACCAACACACAGCTGCAAGCACAGCAACTGCCAACAGATACAGACACATCGACCAATACCAACCGTGAAGCGATCATTTTGTAGCCGCCTCTTTCGACACACAAACGTCACACAGCTACAAACTTCAACCGACACACAAAAGACAGGTAAAAACACACACACACACACACACTCAGGTACGAGATGCCGACTTAAACCCACACAGTTACGGCATTTAGCCGGCTCTCGGGCTAGCCGCTTAGCAGTAAATCTAATCAAATCAGCCATAAATCAATAGCCGTCGATAAATACAGTTATAAAACAAACCAAACAGTGTTCACTCAAGTAAAATTCCGATATAATCAGTGAATATTTTACATAATTTCCAGCGTTGTTTGCGACCTTAGTCAGCTCTTGCTTGATCAATCATTGCGATGTATTGGCAACTCTATTCATTTATTTGCTCAACTCTCAGTCGAGTGTATCTGTGTGAAGTTGTCTGGAATTGTGTGGGTTTAGCTGATCGTTGATTGGTTGCTGTTGGCCACGTTTAAAAACCTATTTACAATTTTTTCTTCTCTTTTCGTGTTGCTTTATTTTTGGTTTTCGTAGTTTGTGGTCAACACAAAAGGTGGGCTAAGAGGCCGTGCTAGCCAATGGCAATCAGATTTCATTCTATCTTTTTGTGCATGTGTGTGTCTGCGCTTTTGACTTTGTTGTTGATTTGTTTAGCATTTAATTGGATTCAATTAGCTAATTCTCAGCGGATTGTGGCTTGTGGATTCGATGTGGCAAGGGCAATGATTTTCTACTGGAAATATGGAACATCTCTATCACGAGTGGCCACATGTATATATATGTAAATTAGAAGTAGATCAGACTGGAATTGAGACATTAGTCGAGACATTAGTTAAAAATAGAAGCTTTGGGGGAAATGTTCACTTATCATCGCTACTCAAACTCCAGGGCTACAGCTGTCCAGCGTATGTGGATTTAAACATAGTTTAAGTTTATTTTCATTTAGAAATATTTTTGCAATCCTAGTACCTTTAATATGTTGGTAGACAAATGTCAAAATACTAGTCTTTAACATTAGTAATCATTTATCATTCATTACCATATAAATATTCATTATAGAAATCCACTTGTTAAAATTACGATCAATAACCACTGTATTTTTTACATAAGTAATTCAAAGTTAATAGTATTTAAATACTATCTTTTCAAATATTTTCTAATTCTTGGCAGGAAATCTCAACCTAAAAACGTTAAAATATAATTAAATTTATAGACAAATTTAGCCCTTTTAATATGATTTTAACTTTAATGTTGGGGAATTTCCCGTATATTTTTTCTTTTAAATGACATTATTTGTAATTAATTGTCCTTCCTTAACATAATTATAAATATATTAAGAGAGTGTGAAGTGAAATGTATTGTCCGTATAGATAATACATTAATAATATTTGTTTCACGATTTGAGTATATCTCTGATTAATAAATCACCTTAAATTACTGGCCAAATGAATTACGAAACAATTTGTTTGTATTTTTAGTTGTTTTGTATTTTATTTGCATTTGTTGAAGTATTTTTTAGGAAATTTATTGGCTTGCCCTAAATAGTCCAATAAATCACGACTTTCTCATCCAGTAGCAGCCAGACCCAACATCAAATTGCTGTCAGTGACTGCAGGACAGGACTCGTGTCTTTCTTTTTGTCTTTAGCAACTTATTTTTTGTTGGCTTAGAATTTCAGCTATGGGACATGGCAGGAAATTAGCATTAAACATAAACAAGTCGTGCGTTATCTGCAGTGAATATTTAATTAGCAACAAAAAAAAGGGGTTCAGCGAATCCCAACGATCGATCGATCGATCGATTTGAAGAGGTGTAAGGCAGCAAGAGTCCAGGAATTGAATACAAATTAATAAATTAATTGCCAGCGTAGCCGAATCGGAAACAGTGCCAGTTCTAGGCGATGTTGGAAAATAGTTCCCAAAAAAATATTGATATTCATTTTAATGGAAAGAATGAAAAAAAAAAAACCAAAAGAAATACTCAAATGGCTATAAAAATTTTAAGCTTGAACAAATATTTAAATACCAATTATATGATGAGTCATTTACCCATATGGCAGTATATCAAGTCGTAGTTAAGGTTAAGGCCTTCTTCGGCTCGCTCTTTGAACTCTGTGCCCGTCGCGTGGCCAAGAAACGAGTCACCCGCTGCCACTCTGGTGACTCAAACACGTCGAGACTATCAGCAGACAACATGAATATTAACTAACCAAGTGTGGAAAGGTAGTCAAGAGGGTCTGTTCTAGGGTGGGGCCCCCATCGAAGACACAGAACAGTTTTGGGTCAGACACTCAACGAAGCGGAAGTCAGGCAGTCGCTCTGTGAGGCACGCGCTGATTCCTTCAGCCTTTGATTTAACCGATTTTCGGTAGGGAACAATTGATGATCTGGCCATATATGTAGAGGGTGTAATGGAAGTGCCAAGCATCGGTAACTCTCCCTTGCTCCGCTGCACGCTGCTCCATTTTGGTTAAATTCCTTTCGCGTCTTGGCTGGTCTGTTTTTTTCCTTATTGTTTTGGCCCAGAGCAATCCCACGCCTATAAAAATCAAGGGAGTGACCCAGGCCAAGACCACAGAGCACAGCACGAGTCAGATGTCGTATTTCATTAGACTCAACTCATGTTAACGCAGCGGTGGCTGGCTCTGCCTCAATAGCCCTCATGCACAGGACCAGGTTCAATCGTCGTCCCCTCCCCAGCCAATTGCCAATAGAATTGTAAACACGTCGGTTCAATGCGCCCACAAAAAAAATAAAAATAAAAACAGAACAGAACAGAACAGAACGTAGAGAAAATACAGAATTGAATTACATGAAAATGCTCGATGCGTTTGGGTTTGCGTTTGCGGAAAGGAAATCGTACAAACTGGTCATGAAAAATGCATCACTCGACCGGCAAACAGACTATAAAACGTTTCCCGCCAGACGACGACAGCGACAACGTCTGAACTTGGCCCAGGGACTGTGGCTAGGGACTGTGGCTATGGCTATGCGACTGATCCTGTTCCTGGCTGGGTGATGAAAATGTACGACTCTTGCTGGAGGCGCTAAGTGAGCTTACAAAAAATATTTCACTTCTGATGGTGATGCGGTATCGATTGGGGTATATGACATTTTTTGGGGGAGTTTATGTTTAGACAAAAAAGGGGATTTTTCTAGATTTTAATTTATTTACACTTGGTATAATTTATTACAGCCTTGAGTTCCGTCAAAAAAGATAATTTACTCCTCAAAAGGAATGCTTTTTTATCATGTTATAAATCGTTTAGGAATAAATCAATGTTTAATTTAAAATTAAAATCAAATATATGTACTTACTTCTTTATACTTACTACTTATAATTACTCATTTAGCTCTCCTTCTAATATAAATTATATATTATATCTATCAATATTCATTCCTAAAACAATTCCTATCAAGTGATCCCATCCAAAAGTAGTGTAGAGTATTACTGCTGCTCCATGATTTCCAGCAGTCTCATTCTTCTTATTTAGTTACAGTTCCACGCACACCCAAAGAGGGACAGAGTAAGAGATACCCAAGCAGACGCCCCGGGGTCGTTTAAAACTTGACCAAGACAATCCTCAAAAGCCTGAACCAACGATGACGACCGGCCGTCTAGGTGGTGCTGTGGTCTCTGGTGGCGGAGCCGGGGCCGGGGCCTTTTGCCCACTCTGAAATCAATCGATTCGACATTATTATTAATTTTTCATAACTTCTGCAGCGGCCAGCACGCTGGCGGCCCTCTGTGTGCAATATGGCGCCCTAAAACCCCAGCTCCATGA